CACACTTATTGATTAATAAGATTATAGTGCGTCCAAAAGATGAGAAGTATAAAACAAAAGAGGCCTTTATTCTGAGAACACAGAGAGAGAACCCCCCCCCCCTCCAAGTCTGGCTTTCTCTCTGGCAAACACTTGGCGTGGGGGCATATATGTAGCTTAGGTTGGGGGTGGTGCCTGAGGGGCATTAGGGATGTGCAGGTAGCCCATTGGTATTCTTTTGGTGCCATAGGTAAATTCCTAGGGGTTGGGGAGATGGAGCTCCTTGGTTCTGCCTGAGGCTTTACTGGCTACAGTGTCCTGTCTGGGCCAAAACTCTTTTACACACCTGTAATCCTAGTACTCAGGAGGCCAAGGCAGAAGGATCATAGCGAGTTTGAGACCAGTCTGGGCTACAAAGTGAGTTCAAGGCCAGCCTGACCTGCATGGTAAGACTGTCTCAAAAGACAAAAAAAACCCCACCCCAACCCAAAACAGTGACTCTACAGTGTTGATTCCTGGCTTCCTCAAGGTGATCCATACCTACTTAGAATATCAGTCCCTGATATTTATAAGTATAAATACTTGGCGTGTGGTTGCATTTGTTTTGGCTTTTATCTTGAAATCTAGCCCACAGCAGGAGGTACCTGTCTCCTCCAAGGCTACAAGGTATCTGGTCTTCAGCAGGGTTCTTTTGAGGGCTCAGTTCCCTCTGACTGGCTATGCTATTTCTAACTAACTCAGCTGCCTTTAACAACTGTACTTGTAATCTTGTTAATTGATTAGCGTTTTTCTCAATTTAGACCTGTCTCATCTTGTGGTTTTGCAGTACAAAATTCCCTTAAGAAACAGGATCCTTGCAATCTACTCTGGATCTTTCTACCTCTCTTACTCGGAAGCTTTCTTCCCCTCAATAAACACATTGTTATTAATCTGTTTCTAGAATAATTGGATTTTAAAGAACACAAACTCTGTGTACGTTTCCCTTATATTGTTTGGCAGTCATTTATCACCTCTATACCTTATGTCCTATATCATTAGAATGTTTGATTTTGAGGTTATGAATAGGTCCAAGGTACAATCACATAAATAGGTAATTGAAGTGGAAGATTATTAGAGAAAAAAGATTCAAGAAATCAAAAAAGCCAGAATGGTGTTCTCTTAATTTTAATCCTATCCCAAGTAGAAAATGAAAGGGCTTAGAATGGAGAGGAAGACTATACTAGGTGTGCAGGAAGTCAGGACTTCTGCCTAGATATTAATTACAATTAATTACTTTAGAAAAATTGTGAGTTTCTTAGTGGTTTACTTTCCAGTAATTCTTTAAATAGTTTTGCAATCCCTTCTTTGCTGTTTTGAAATCCAAAAAGCACTGAAAGCAATGTTTTTTCTAAAATCTCAGTGTTGAGAAAGCAATGTTTTAATGTTTGGCGGCAAAAACCTGGCCTGATTTGGCTTATTGATCATTAAAACTCAATTTCACCTGAATCCTTGGTAGTAAAGAGGTAAAATCTGATCTGAAAGATGTTATGAACTGAAGTGAGGCCACTTACATACTTCAATGATCTCACTTAGGGTGCTATTCATAATTTTTCCTGAAAAAAAGTTGTTGAACTGATCACAGGGTTCCAGACCTTTTGGCATATCACCTAACAGGAAGCACAGGTCTCTAAGGTTTGAAAAAAAATTTTTTTTTGGTACCGGGGATGGAACTCATGATCTCACACAAGGCAGGTGCTTGCGCTGGTGGGCTAAACCCCTGCCTGGTTTGAAATATGTTGAATTCTGAAAGTCGTCCTGCAGAGAGTTTTCATATAGGGAATTATAAATTCACGTTTCACTGCCATAATAAAGTAAGCTAATACTCTAAAACACAGATCAGTTGGGCGTGGTGGAGCGTGCCTGTAATTGTAGCACTCGGTTAGGCTGAAGTAGGAAGACTAACGGGATTTTGAGGCTAGCCTGGGCTACTAGTAAATTCAAGGCCAGTCTTAACTACTTAGTGAGACCCTATCTCAAAAAGACAAAACTCAAAACCCAAAATCTCCAAAAACAAAACCAAAAGGCCTTTGAGGAAAACGATGTCTCAAAATTCAAGAAATTAAAGTCAAACGTGGTGTACATGTTTAATCCCAGTACTTGGGTACAGGAGAATACAGAGTCCAAAACCAGCCCAGGCTACATACATGGCAAGACTTTGTCTCAAAAAAGAAAAAAAAAAAAAAAAAAAAAAAAAAGAAAGAAAAGAAAAAGCTGAGTGTAGTGATATATGCTTGTGATTCCAGCACTAAGGAGGTCGAGGCAGGCCAGCTTGTGCTACAAAGGGAGTTCCAGGACAGCCTGACTAAAGTGAGGTCCTGTCAGGAGGCAAACCCAAGAAAAAACAAAGAAATCCATAAAAATTTCTTTCAGTTATGGCTTGTATTAGGCATATTTCTTTTCTGATTTTATACATACATATGATGGTAATTTATAGCAGTAAATACCCATATCAGGAAAACAGAAGCAAGCATATATAAACAACTTAATGGTGAACCTCAAACTTGAGCCAATGACCTCCTAGATCAAAACCCAAAACTCGAATGAGGGAGGAAATTTTAAAGATCAGAGCAGAAATTAACACTGGAGACACACTAAGCCACCCTGTCTTTGACAAAGGTGCCAAACATTCACTGGAAGACAGCTTCTTTAATAAGTGGTGCTGGAAAAACTGGCTTTACACATGCCGAAGATTAAAACTGCACCCATATCTTTCAGCATGTACTAAGCTAAAATCAGAATGGGTCAAAGATCTTAACCTGAAAGCAGAAACATTAAATCTACAGGAAGATAGAGTAGGTAAAACTCTTGAAGACAATGGTGTAGGCAAAGACTTTATGAACAAAACCCAGATGGCACAGGAAGTATCCCAAAGAATCAACAATTAGGATCTTATGCTATTGAAGAGCTTTTGTGTAGCAAGAGAAGCCACCAACAGAATAAAGAGACAACTCACAACGTGGGAGAATTTTGTTTGCCAGCTGTACCTCACATAAAGGATTACTATGGAGAACATATAAGGAACTCAAAAAAACCAGTCCTCCCAGATTTAAAGGTCCAATCCAAAAATGGGCACCTGAGATGAATACATACTTCTCAGATGAAGAAATACAAACAACAAATAAATATGTGAAAAAATGTTTATCACTGGTCATTGGAAAGATGCAATTAAAACAACACTACGATTCCACCTCACCCAGGAAAGAATGACCACTATCAAGAAATCAAGCAGTAACAAATCTGAAGAGGCTGTGGGGGGGGGGGGGAAGAAACCCTTCTGTATTATTGGTGACTTGTACAACCACTGTGGAGATAAGCGTGGAAATCCCTCAAAAAACTAGGACTAGAAGTCCCATTTGACCCAGCTATTCCCCTTCTGGGTATCTTCCCAAAAGAATTAAAAACATTATACCACAGTGATGTATGTGCACCCGTTTATAGCAGCATAACTTGTAATAGCCAGATCTTGAAAAAACCTAAATGCCCATTGACTGAGGAATGGATAAAAAAAGATGTGGTATTTTTGTACAATGGACTATTACTCAGCCATAAGACTTTTATAGGATGCAATTTGAGACCATACTCTTAAGTAAAATAAATCTGACATGCATCTGTAAACATGTAGTGTCTCATTAGTGTGAGATGAAAGAAACAACATATGGTTATATATGTATATAAAAAAGTTAAAATTGTTACACTACTCATTTTTCTGAGTTCATTAAAGAGGAAGATTTGTGTTGGTATTGTTTTGATAACTGAATAGATATTTTGTGCTCTGGGTGAATAATTTGGGGATGACAATGCGAAGATTTCAGTACATAGGAAGCAAAGCAGTAATTATTGAGAACTTATTTTATGGAAACTAATGTTTTGAAAATGTAGAAGATGAAAAGTACATTAAAGAGGATTTTGTGTTTTCTTAGGTGTTTCAAGGTTAATGTGATTTACTTGTCTTTTCTTCACTAGTGAGATTGTAAATTTTATAGGGGTTCTCATGGCACTAAAAGAATATGAATTCGAATAGAACACACTTGCTTTCTTGGAATTGTAACTGAATGCCTAATATTAAGTACATGTGTAACAGTCAAGTGATTTAGAAATAATTTAACAGAAGCACAGAACAAGACTCACGCTCACAAAATACAGATAAAATAATTAAAACTCACAGAAATGCAGGTTAGAGACGCCATTCATTCTTGGAGCGTGAGCATAGAATAACAAAGCATTAGAACTCAAAAGCTCCAACCAGAAACAGGTTTTTCACAGCCAAGACCTCCTAGATCAAAAAAGCAAAGAGCGGACCAGGGACTGGGAGAGCCCTGGAGTTGGGGGAGGGTCACTGCTCAACCGTGTGGTCGCTGCCCACATTCCTCTGGTTCTCTTTTTCCTTACCTATGAAACAATTCATTCAGAACACACACGTCCCAGGGACACACTTTTCACCTAGCTGCTAAGTTAGGGATCCTATTTTGTTACAATCGCGAAGCTGGGCGAAAACACCAAGACCACGCACAAGAGAGGAGCACCCAGGCAAAAGGAAAAGGCCGCCGCGACCGCGGCAGATCGCTCCTGTAGCTCCCGAGAGCGCAGTAGCGGACGCTGCCAACCGAGGCTGCGCGTCGGTAGCGGCGGCGGCGGCGGAAGGGACCGTCCCCTGGCCGGAAGTGACGTAGCTCCGGCTCTCACTTCGGGAGGGAGGTGTAGCCGGTTGGTGGAGGGAGGCGTAGGCCAAGCGGTGGCGGAAGAGGTTCGGCGGCTGATGGCGTCTCAGGCTTGGAGACTTGTCTAACGTTCCCCGAGGCCCGGGAGCCCTTCACTGGGTAAGGTCCCTTTCCGGCCCGCTCCACCGGCTCGCGCGCGGCGGACCCAGGTGGAGTGGGGCTCGCGCTCTGCCCCTGACCTCCTGGAATCCGGGGCCCAGGCTGATCTGGGGAATGGTCTCCTTGGTGACGCTGCTGCCAAATGACGTTGCTTGCTTTCCCAAGGGTGAACCTTTCGTTCTGCGCAGCTGTAGTGACGGTACGGAACGTGGGCGACTCCGGCCAGCAGAGGAGTTGGGAAAAAGACCGGGGGCTCCTCCACAGTGCGGGGAGGCCTGCGGGACCGGCCTTTTGCTTTAGAGGAGGCGTACGTGACGGGACTCCTTTGGCTGGGGGCGACCTTCGGGGTGTTCGAAATCTGCGGTGACCTTTTTTCCGAGACTAGAGATTGAATCCAGGGCCTCTGGAGACATTGAGGTACGTCCCCAAGCCTTTTAAAAATGTTTTTGAGACGGGGTTTCTCATACTAAGTCACTAAGTTGGCCAGGCTGGGCTCGAATTGTCTTTGGCTTTAAGTTCCCAGAGTGCTGGGATCCAGGCGTGGCTGTTTGGAGGTCAAAGTGTGTGTTTCTTGCGTTATTGGTAAGCTGGGAAAACAGGACGAGTCGGGGAAGGGCGCTCAGGCTGGTCTCCGAGGGCAAAGCTCGGCTGTTTTGGTTTGAGTTGCCTGCAGCGGAGGAGGAGGGGACTCCGCGCGCCGCCTACTTTTCAGGGGGCGGGGTAGTGGTGACTGAGCAGGTCCGATTTTCTACTTTTGGGCTATGGGATTAAAGTTAGTTCTTCACCTACTTGTAAAGTTCTCTCTCCCTGGCGCTGGAAGTCTTTAGAGAAATGTTCCGAGAACTGTCACGTCACTCTGCCTACTCAACTTTTCTGTATTGCAAAACTCTCCTTTTCCCCTGTTTCACCCCTTTCAAATAACAGCCGGTCCGCAGGTGGTGGACAAGTCCCGACGGGCGCTCATTGCTCTGGAAGTGTTAGCACTTGGTCTGTGTTTATTTTCGTATTAAGAAATACATATTACAGTTTATAAAAGTTTTGTTGAAAATGTGGCATTTGGCTTTATACATATATTAAATTTTGGGTTTTGTAGTTTGGGAAAAATCTTATCAATTCTACATTCTGCGTATGGTTGGATTTCTATGAATTGTGCGCGAATTCCTATTATAAATTTGGTACTTAATTCCAGAAGCATTTCAGACACTAAAATGGATTCATTGCCCTCAAAGTGGTTTTCTAATATAGTGGAGGCGCTCGGGCTGAGTTGTTTTGTGTTGTTGTCAAGGGTAAACACTCATAGCTTGATAGTGGTGAAAATCCTCAGATTTTATTTATTTTTTTTTGTTTGTATGCTTTTGTGTTTTTTGAGATAGCTTCTCACTATGCAGTTCAAGCAGGCCTTGAGTTCATTTTATAGCCCATGCTGATGTCAAATTTGCAGTGACTCTCCTGCCTCAGTCTCCCAAATGCTGGAACTACAGGCATGCGCCAACGTGCCTGTCTCTTCGGATTTTGTTCTTGACTCATTGTGTTCTTTGAGGGGTGGGTACCGGGGATGGAATTTACAACCTTGCACTTGGCGGGCAGGTGCTGATCTAAATCCCGGACCTTCTTGACTCTGTGATTTGGAAGATTTTGTTCGGGTACTTAGCAATGTTGATTTCATACCCTTTCCAGACAAAACAGTTTGTTACTTTTCATTTTTTTGATACTCATTGTGCCTCCTGGAACCAATTAATGACAGTACTGCTGAACTCGAGTTTTTAAATGATTACTCCAGAAATGATGTGTTATTAAGCCTATTAGTTATTTTTGCAGTCCGATAAATTTATTTATTTTTAATTTTTTAATTGTTTTTGGGTACAGGGAATCGAACTTAGGAACTTGAGCTTGCCGGGCAAGCGCTATACCACTAAGCTATATCCATGGCCAGTTTATTTATTTATTTTTTTGCCAATGTATTTTTAAATTTATATTTTATTTTTTATTTTTTGGTAATGGGAATTGAACCCAGGACCTTGTGCTTGCCAGGCAGGTGCTTGTGCTACTGAGCTATATCCCTGGCCCCGCTCTTTTAAATTTAAAAGAACATTTTACTGTAATTTTTTTCTAGATTTTATTATTATTATTATTTGCCTGTACTTGGTACTTGCGGTACCAGGATCTTTGTACTGAGCTACATCTCTACTACTTTGTCCCTCTGTCTGTCTTTCTCTTTCTTTTTTGACACAGTCTTGCTTTGCAGTTCAGGCTGGCCTTGAGCTCACTTTGTTGCCCAGGCTGGTCTCGAACTCACAATGATCCTCCTGCCTTATCCTCCTGCCTTAGCCTCCCGAGTGCTGGGATTACAGGCGTGAGCCACCACATCTGGCTTTATTGGAGTCTGTTCTTTTTTGTGTGTGCCAGTGTTCAAACTCACCACCTCGAGCTTGCTAAGCAGGTGCTTATGTGGCTAACCTAAATCCCTAGCCTTGGAGTTTATTCTTTTGGAATGGATATTACTATGTAAATTTGGGCTTTATGGATTTACAGCTTTTTTTTTTTTTTTTAAGACAGAGTCTCACAATGTAATTCAAGTTGGACTTGAGTTTACTGTGTAGCCCAGGCTGGCCTCAATTCAGTTATCCTCCTGCCTTGAGTTTCCTGAGTGCTGGGATTACAAGGTGTATACCACCACACCTGGCGGATGTATGGCTTTTTAAAGTTTATTTTGTTCCAAATCTTTAGATAAAGAGAAAGCATTTTTTTTTTCTCCCTCAGTATTTATCAGCCAGGATCATAGCATTTTAGAAGCCAACTTTTTTTTTTTTAAGTCGATAAAGTAAAAGTGCTGTGGGTGACTTCTGGGCAGAACATAGGGACTCTTAGCTCTGAGGAATTCCAGAGCTAGGAGTATCTGTAAGAGTACAGATTACCTGTTGGGGGCTGGGAGGTTTGCTTTTGTTGGAAGATTACTGATTTATAATAAGCCAGTTAAGTCTTTTGTTTAAGTACACTATGAGTAATTGGAAACTATTGAATCTTCAATTTTATTTTTTTCCTTCAGATGTTTGTGTGTTCTATAGAACTGAATTTTGGAGATAATTTTCAAAGATTGATTTTTTTTTTCCTCCGTGATGTTTAAAACTTTGCTTAACGCTTGTCATCCTTTACCAGAACTATGGCTCTTCATAGTAAAAGATGTGGTGCATTTCTTTTGCAGCAGTTGATGCATGAAGTTTTTTTTTTTTTTTACTAGAACACTTCTTTATTTGCTTTGGTTTCACTAACTTTAATTTCAAAAGGAGAATAAACAGTAAAATGAGCTAAGTTTTTGCCAGTCTGGTTTCATTGTCCTCCTAACTCATTTGTTCTTTCCCTTCGAGTTTAAAAGCCAGTTCTAGAAATTAAGGTATTTCACATATAATTAGCTTAGTCTGTGTGTGTGTGTGTGTGTGTGTGTGTGTGTGTGTGTTTGAGACAGGGTCTTGCTATGCAGTTCAGGCTGGCCTTGAACTTAATTTGTAGGCCAGGCTGGTCTCAAACTCCCAATGAACCTTCTTCCTCAGCTTCCCGAGTGCTGGGATTACAGATGTGTGCCCGCACACCCAGCTAGCTTAGTATTTCTAAGTCTCCCCACTGTATGTATGGATGTATGTATTTTATACCGGGAATTGAACTCAGGACCTTATGTTTACCAGGGAGGTGCTGGGCTGCTCAGCAACTCATGACTTAGGGCTTGCCAGGCAGGCGCTTAATGCCACTGAGCTAAATCCCTAGCCCTGAAATCTACTTTCTAATATGCTGACAAAAGCTTACATTTTTTAGTTAAGTAACAGCATCAGGAGCTGGTGGAAAGAGATACCACAACAGGCGGATCTGTTTTGGGTTTGTAAAAGTCCAACAGGAGAAAGTACAGATAACTTTCTTACCTTATTGACAACCCCCTCCCCCCATTTATTTTGGCAATGTAGTTGAGTATCCACTACATATTATTTATCTATAGATATTCCCAAATAACAAAATTGATCAAAGACTTTTGCATTGGTAGTATGGCACACATGAAAAATTTCTAGAGGAATTAGAATTTTGGGGAATGTGGGAAACTTGAAAGAGGAAAAGATAACCCAGCATGTAAATGCATTTCAGACGTTACTTCCCAGCGAAATGTGTCTGGCCCTTTAATTGTTCACTGCAAAATTTGACTTGTCCTTGATGTGCCATCTTACTATGTACCTGCTTCTGGGGATATACTTTAGAGTGGGAAGTACTTTGGCAGTGCCCTGTCTGTATAGGGGCTGTATTTCTCCTTTCTAACAGAGATAAGGTTTTCTCAGGATGTTAGTGAAGCTACACTTCCTATTATTTACCACAAGGTGATGCAGTGACTTTGTATATTCCTCATTAGGCGGTGGCAGGTGCAGCTTGCCTGCGTGCTTGCTTCCTTGGAAGAGAGTGTGTGTGTGTGTGTGTGTGTGTGTGTGTTTTGGCATAATTTGAATGTCAGCATTTTTATGAGCTATTTTATAACTTTACCTGTGGGAGGAGTGAACCCGAGGAACTGTGTGAGAATTATAATTTTTTGAGACTACTTTAAAAGGAGATTCATGATATGATTATTTTCAGAATACATTTGTCCATGCTAACTTTTTTTTTTTTTTTTTTTAACGGTACTTTTTTTAACAGTACTAGGGATTGAACTCATGACCTCATGCTTGCCAGGCAGGCACTTATGCCACTGAGCTAAATCCCCAGCCCTACTTTTTTTATAACTATAGGATGTATTGTAATTTAGAAGTTAAGAATAGTAAGGAATGGTGCAGTGACCCTTGTAAAATAGCTTTACAGTTATAGCATAGATACTTTTTTTTTTTTTTTTTTGTCTTTTTGAGATAGGGTTTCTCTATGCAGTTCAGGCTGGCCTTGAGCTCTCACTTTGTACCCCAGGCTGGTCTCGAACTTGCAGTGATCCTCCTGCCTCAGCCTCCCAAGCGCTGGGATTACAGGCATGAGCCACCATGCCCGGCTAGCATAGATACTTTTCAAATACAGTAGTTGAAGTGTTAGAGATTGATGTAGGCTTTTTAAGTAGAATGGTTGCAAGTTTTCTTACCCCTCATAAGCATCACAAATACTTAAAGTGTAGTGTTAGTGCCTTCTGTTAAACACTTTGAACTTGAGGGGGGAGGGCTCAAAAATAAGATTTTATGTTAGTATGTTTTTAAAAAACTATACATTTACAGAAATTAAAACAACAGAGTTTAAAGTTCTTGTTCATACAAGTCCTTCATCAATACAGACTATGATATGTATGCTATTTGAATCCTTTTTGATGCATGTAATAAGGTTTGCATGTTTGTATTCAAACGTGCATCTGTCCCTACTTATATTTTATACTTAAAAAATTTCAACAGAATAAAACTGTAAAATTGGATATTGGATTTTGAAAATAATTGGAATAACAGGTTAAATGAAGCTTGAACTTCTTTGCTTTGTTGTGTAAGAAAATAGGTATAACCATTTATTTATTGTATTTATTTATTTATTATTTAAAAATAAATTTTAAAATATTTGTTTTAGGAAACAGCATTAAATTTTAAAGTTTCATCACTAAACATTTAATTAAAAAGGGGAAACTATTCTAAGCCATTTCTTTTTTACTACCTTAAAGAAACCTAAATACAAACTTTTTTCATAGAAAAATATTGCAGATTCCCTTAACTCCATTTTGATATAAGAGGTTAGTTTAATTGATTTAGCTATAGTTTCTCTTATTGGTGTCTCATAACTTTATTTTTTGTATATGTTTTTGAAGTACTGGGATTGAACTCAGGGTCTCATACATGCTAGACAAGTGCTCTACCACTGTGTGTCCCCCACCAATTTATTTATTTGAGACAAAATCCGGCTGAATTGCCCACACTGGCTTTGAACTTGTGATCCTTCTGCCTCAGCCAGCACATCCAGGTATCAATATTTTTAAACAGAAACTGAATTTTTTTTTTTCCTTTTTGTGAAATTGCTGACTTAAAGAGACTGTTAGTGACTTTATTAGTATGGTGACCTCTCTGTGAACTTAGATTAGTTCAGACAACTCAAAGAAACAAAATAGAAGTCTGTACATGTTTTAGACAGATTTTCCTAGTGTTTTTAAGTGCTACCTTTTTGTTTTCATGAAAGCTTTAATGTTTATCAAGTGGAGAATATTCACAGCTACTTCCAGTGCTAACAGCCATTTTGCTAATGCTGAGGCAAAACATTGTTACACATCAGGATTATAGACAACTACCCGGTTTGTTCTAATAAATAGCTTCATGATTGTTAGTTACTTTGTGGGTTGGTTGTTCAGTGTGCTCTTCAGTAAAACAGTGAATTGACCATTACAGAAGCAGAGGTGATGCCAGAAGAGTTGATATATTCTAACGTGCTAATTATTTTAAACTTTAAAGATTTGCACCTGAGTATGATAGTGCATGCTTATCTTACTAGTTGGAAGGCTGAGGCAGGAAGATTGCAAGTTTAGAGTGTGGGGCAATTTAGAGACTAAAAACGAGAGTCCAAAAAAAGACTGGTGAAGTAGAGTGCTTGCCCAGCATGTACATGGCCCTGGGTCCAAATACCAGTATTGCAAAAAAGAAGCCTTAGTATTTCTTTTCTTTTTTGTACCAGGGATTGAACTCATGACCTCACGCTTGCCAGGCAGGCGCTTAAGCCACTGAGCTAAATCCCTGGCCTAAGTATTTCAAACAGGTCTACAAAAGAAAAGAAACAGTTGTCTAAGCAAACTACCTTACTCTTAGTGACAAGGCTTAATAATTGCTAAGACGTTGAGTACTCCTGTGCTTACTTTGTAGAATCTTGAGTTATGAAGTAAATTAATTTGATTAGCAGTATCTTGCTCTAGGTTTCCCCCTTATTACAGGAATTCCTGATAATGACTCAGAAGTAAGTGACATAAAGTCAGAGTCATAGGTTCACATAGTTATACACAGTGTACTATAGAATTGATTGTGTCAGGAGACTGAAGCAGGAGGATCACTGTGAATTGGAAGCCAGCTTGGGCTACATAGTGGGTTCAAGGCCAGCCTGAACTACATAGCAAGACTGAAAAAACAAACAAAAAAAGACATTGAACCTAAGAAGAGGAGCGATATGGGATGGGCTGGATTTGGGAGAAAAGTGGTAAAATTCAAGAGTTGTACATTGAAAGGAAAAGTTGCTTGACCAGTAGTCAGTAAAATAGTGACTTAAAACTGTACTTATTTCTGTTTGAGGCTGGTGGCTTATGTTGGCAGCATGTACAGTGGAACACATGCTTCATTTGCTTTTGTTTGGAATAGAATTAGAGGGTTGATCTGGGCTTGGTGATGAATACTTTGTAATCCCATCTATAAGGGAAGCTGAGGCAGGAGGACAAATTGGAGGACAGCCCACGCAATTTAGCAAGATCCAGCCTAGAGGGCTTGACTTTCCAGGAGAGTTAAGAGTTTTTGTTTTAATCCCTGAATAATTTTCTGAAGCCGTACTGACTGTAGTTGTTTCTCAATTTTTTTGAGTTTTGGAACCCAGGACCTTCAGACTGAGCTATATTCTCAACCCTTTTAAAAATTATTTTGAGACAGTATCTGAGTCACTTAAGTTTAGTTTGTATTTATATCTTTAACCATATTTTAAGGAAAAATTCCAATATTTAAAAGTATTTATTGTCTCAATATTTATGACATGTAAAGATCCATGAAATTTGCATTAAAATTTACATATTTTGAAAGTAAGAGTTTATTCTTAACTGCTATTATTTAACTTGTATGAATTACTTGTTTCAGATTCATAATGACATCCTTTCAAGAAGTCCCACTGCAGACTTCCAATTTTGCCCACGTCATCTTTCAGAATGTGGCCAAGAGTTACCTTCCTAATGCACACTTGGAATGTCATTATACTTTAACCCCGTATATTCATCCACATCCAAAAGACTGGGTTGGTATATTCAAGGTAAGAAAGCTTTCTGAATGTGTCTTTCATGTAGGTACTTTTTATTTTGTTGTTTAGTAGCTTATAAGTAGCTTATATTACTCATATACAATATGAACTCTGCATTATGGTTCAGTTTTGTAAACATCACTGTGAAATAATTTAGTAATGCATGATAGTAAAAAAATAAATGTTGGGAACTTCATTTCACTAGATTTCTTCTCTGTGATCAAGGGTTAAACTTAGCTAAGCTTTTGTGAGAAAGTTTTTCAGAATCCTTTTGTCCATGTTCTCCATTTCGTACTATAAAATTCTTTTCCTAGGCTGGGGATTTAGCTCAGTAGCGTAAGCGCTTGCCTGGTGGGCATTAGGTTGTGAACTTGAGTGTTTGATCCCCGGTACAAAAAAAAATTCTTGTCACTTAGTTGCATTAATCATTACTGTTTTGTCCCAGTCGTTTATGACTAATTTTCTATAGCTCAATAGCCATGTTATCTCTTCTGTTGTTTCTTTTTCTTTCTTTGTCGTTTTTAAGACAGAGCCTGGTGGGCATTAGGTTGTGAACTTGAGAGTTTGATCCCCGGTACAAAAAAAAATTCTTGTCACTTAGTTGCATTAATCATTACTGTTTTGTCCCAGTCCTTTATGACTAATTTTCTATAGCTCAATAGCCATATTATCTCTTCTGTTGTTTCTTTTTTTTTTTTTCTTTTTCTTTCTTTGTCGTTTTTAAGACAGAGTTTCATTATGAAATTCATGCTGGCCTTGAACTATGTATCCCAGGATGGCCTCAAACTCTCCTCAGCCTCATGCTCTCCTGAGTGCTGGGATTTCCAGAGTGTGCCACCGTGCCTGGCCTTCTTCTTTTGTTTTTAATTGCTGACATTGCTCGTATTGTATTATATTACTTTAGGAGCATATTCTGTTTTATGTGGCAAATAGTAAACCCTTTGATGGCAGGAGTCTCAGTCATATTTTATCAATCATTTTTTTATAATACTTACTTGAAAATTATGTTGAAATGGACATTGTAATGGTAGGTACCCCGCTGTACTGGTGGTTTTCTAGCAATTTTAGCCTATCAGAATATAGTAGGGAACCAAAACGTTACTGTCCTCTGAGTAGTAAGAATAAAGTCATGAATGTCCAAACACAGATACGATTTTTAATAGGCTTGAATTGTTCATTACCCAGTCTGCATGAGTTTAAGCAGAAAAGCAGAAGAAAAGTATACATCACATTTGTTTTTAGCCATTTATCCCTTGATTGATATCTAGATTGCCTCTGCTACCTGTCCATTGTGAATTATGCTGCAGTGAGCATGAATGTCCAGATCTTTCTTAAAGATCCTCTTTTAAATTCTTGCCTGTATACCCCGAAGTAGCATTGCTGGCTCATAGGTAATTGTCTTAAATTTTTTGTGGAATCTCCACACTTGTTTTCCGTAACAGCTGCACCACGTTACGTTCCTTTTAACAGCATAAGCCTCTCAGTCCCTCCCCATTCTCCCTAACTCTTGTTTTGTCATAATGACCAGCCTAACAGGTGTGAGATGATAATTCATTGTGAATTTAGTTTTGATTTGCACTTTTATTACGATTATTGAGGAAACATCACATGCTGTGGGTCACTTATATGCCTTTTTTTTTGTTTTCTTTTGGTGCTGGGGTTCAAATCAAGGGCTGCGTACAACCTATGTATATACTCTCAACCATTGGACTATATCCCTAGTCCTCTACTTGTATATTTTCTGTGAAAAAATATTTATTTAATTCCTTTACCCACTTGTAAGTTAGATTTTTTTTTGTTGTTGTTGAGTTGTGGGAATTTAGCTAGGTGACATAAGTGCCTGCCTGGCAAGCTCAAGGTCATGAATTTGATCCCCCCATATGTAAAAACAAACAAACAAACAAACACAGTAGGAAAGAAACTGGCTCTGCAGAATGAGTTTGGGCCTAGTAAAGATAAAAAGAGCGTAAAAGTAAAAATAAAAGTACCTAGTGCTGCTGGGGGACATAGTGTGAACTATTTGTGGAAAGCTGTAATAGCCTCCAGTAACATTTTTCTTTTTCTGGATTATTTTGGCTATTTGGAGTTCTTCAATTACTTATGGATTTTAGGATTTTTTTCTATTTCTGCAGAAAATGACATTGAGACTTTGATAAGGAATAATACTTTGGATAATACAGACATTTTAACATTATTATCATCTAAATCCATGAACTTACATTTCTGTTTTTTAGTATCCTTTATAATTTGTTTTAGGGGCTGGGGATTTAGCTCAGCGGCATACACGCCTGCCTTGCAAGTGCCTGGTCGTGAGTTCGATCCCTGGTACCGATTTAAAAAAAAAAAAAATTTTGTTTTAGCAGTGTTTTATAGTTGTTAGTATACAAGTCTTTTACCTCCTTAAGTCTGTACCTCAATATTTCTTTTTAATGATATTATAAATCAAATTATTTTCTTTCCTTTTAGATGGTTCATTGATACTATAGAAATGGAGCTGATTTTTATGTTAATTTTGTGTCCTGCAATTTTGCTGTCTTAATTTCTTTGTATGTGTGATCTAGAATTTTCTATATATGAGATCATGTTATCTGTGAACACATAATTTTATTTCATTTCCAGTTTGTGTGTACTTTATTTATTTTGTTTAAATTCTCTGGCAGTGACTGTCAGTACTATGCTAAATAGAAGTAGTGAAAAGGGCATCCTTGCCTTGTTTTTGATCTTAGCGGGAAAACTGATGTTAGCTGTGTGAATTTTGCTTTGGCTTTTCTTACATTGAGATTATTTTCTTCCAGTCCTAGGTTGATACTTTTAAATCATCATGAAAAGGTATTGAATTTTGTTGAGTGCCTCTTTTACATTGATATGATCATGTGTGTCCTTTCATTTTCTTCTGTTAAGATGTCATATTTATTGATTTTTATATGCGGAACCATCCTTTTGAGAATAAATGCCACTTTGTCATGATGTGTAATCATTTTAATGTGTTGTTAAGTTTAGTTTGTTAATATTTTTTGTTTACTTGAGAAAGAGTCACTATGTTGGCTAGACACAGTCCTGCTTCAGTTTTCCTACTGCGGGCATCACCTCACTCAGCTAATTTGCTAGTATTTTGCTGAGGATTTTTGAATATTCATCAGATTGTTTTCTGCAGTATTCTTGCATTTTTGTGTCATTTTGGTATGAGAGTAAAGGTCTCATAAAATGAATTTGGAAATGTTTTCACCTCTGTACTTTTTTTTTTTTTTTTTTTTTGGAAATCAAGTAGGATTTGTGTTAATACTTTAAATGTTCAGTAGAATTTTCCAGTGAAGCCATCTGTCTGGTTCTGTGCTTTTGTATTGAGAGGTTTTTGATTACCAGTTAGTTATCTTATTGGTTTTAGGTCTGTTAGCTTTTTTTCTTCATGGTTGATAGGCTTTATATAAGATTCTAAAAATTTACTCATTTCTTCTGTGTTACCCAGTTTGGTTGTGTGGAATTATTTATAGTAGCCTGTCACGATCTGTTTTTTTTTTTGAGACAGAGTCTTGGTATGTAGTTCAGAGTGCCCTAGAACTCACTGTATAGTCCAGGCTGGCCTTGATTTTTGCAGTAATCCTCTTGCCTCAGCCTCTTAAATGCTGGGATTACAGCTATACATCATTGCCACACTCAGCTGTTTTGATCCTTATTTTTTTGGCATCAATTGAATTCTCTTTCATACTTTCTTTATTTTTGTAGGTTTTCTCCTTAGTCATTTGGGTAAGGATTTGTCTATTTTGTTGATCTTTTCAAAAAGCTAACTCTTATTTCTGATTTTTTCTTTTAATTTTCTGTTCTATTTTATTCATCTCTGTTGTAATCTTTATTCTTTTGTTCCTTAGGCTAAGTTTGGTTTTAATTTTTATTTCTAGTTTCTTGTGATGTAGATGTAGGTGGTTGATTTGAGATCTTAAGGTAGGTGTTTACTGTTACAAACTCTTGTAGTACTGCTTTTGTTAGTGTGACCTATTTGGTTTTTTTGTTTGTTTTCTTTTTGACTTAGAGGCTCAATATGCAGTTGGCCTTGAACTCACTTTGTAACCAAGGCTGGCCTCAAACTTGCAAGGATCCTCCTAGTTTTAGATTTTGGTTTTGGTTTGGTTTGTAGTAATGGAGATTGAATCCAGGGCCTTTTCCCTGAATTACATCCTTAGCTCTTTTGTAATTTCTTGAGACAGAGTCTTGTTTCTCAATGCTGGGCTCAAACTTAAAATCCTCTGCCACAAGAGAGTGCTGGGGTTAAGTATATAGATGGGTACCACCATGCTCAGCTGTATGTTGTATTATTTTCATCTTTCTAGATATTTTGAAATTTTTCTTATAATTTGTTATGTGATCTGTGGTGATTAAAAAAAAAACTATTTGATTTTCTATATATTGATGAATTTTCTGTTTGTTTTTTCCCCTCAGCACTGCATAGTATACCCAGGGTCTTGTGCATGTTAGGCAAGCTGTGTACCACTGAGCTGCAGCCCAGCCCATATTGACTTGCTTTGTGGCCTTATGTAGTCTATCCTAATGAATGTTTCAGTAGTGTTATTCAGTAGTGTTGTATATATCGATGAAGTCCAATTAATTGGTCTGTAGGCTTCAAGTCCTCTGGTTTTTTTTTGTTTGGTTGAGCTCATGGTTATTAAAGCTAAGGTATTTATAGGCAAAGAGAAAATATAAAAAAAAATAAAGCTAAGGTATTAAAATCTATTACTGTGTTTTTATTGCTGTTTAAGTTTTGTCAATGTTTACTTCATAAATTTGAGTGATCTGCCATTAGGTGCATATATATTTACAGTTGTTATAGCTTCTTTTTTGTCATTGTATAATATCATTCCAGTTGACTCTTAACGACATTTTTTGAGTTAAAAGTATCAGGTGATTTCAAAATATGTGCTGAATGTTTAAATAAATGTGTTACTGTAAAAGGCACATTGTCATTAATTCTCCTTAAAATACCCCTTTTGTTTCAAGCACACGTACAGCATGATTGTTTC